AGAGAGAGAGAGAGACGAGTTTTTTTTTACACCAAAACAGGGACAAAATCCAAATAAACATATGTCTGCCAATCATTCGTTTATTAAATTTCAAGGAAGTTGACGTGGAATGTGCTGTGTTGCCTGTAGTCTAGGTTACATTAGTCATTCGTATGCATTTGCCGCTAATCTCTCTTCAAAGTTTAACATGTGTAGCAGGAAATTAACGGAGAATTTTTCCGTCAAACAGAGGCAGGATATGATTATCGTGAACAGGCAGACATGATTTTTGCATACGGACACACGAATGGTAATGGGCGCGAGGCTGCACGGCTGTATCAGAATGCGTTTCCAGACCGAAGTCAGCTGAGTCATCCAACATTTGCTGCTGTTTATCCTCGCATTGCTGAGACAGGATCAATGTCACTACAAACTATGAATCGTGGAAGACCGAGATCCGGTCGTACGGCAGACGACGTTGAACAAATTCTGTACGATTTCGGAGCATTGTTAATTGTTGGTGTTTGAAGTAGAAATACTTGTGATAAATATATATATATATATATATATATATATATATATATATATATATATATATATATATATATATATTTCTAGTTTTAAAATCAAGGAATGTATTGATTTTAATTTTAAAAGTCTCTAAGGCCCTTTCAACCAACATCTCATCAGGAGACAATCGTTGGATCAACGAAAAGAATATTAACGACAATGAAGAGCAAAAAGAGGAGGGAAACACACTAAAAAAAAATAATCAAGTGTATATATTTGTAACGAGGGGAGGGGAAATAATCGTGTAAATAAATTAGCGAGGGACAGTTAAAATAAAATATCCCCCATCAGATTAAGAGACTTTACAAATTCTTTCTGCCGGCAGAGAGAATGTTTCCTTAATCCTATGCAGACCGATTCCAAAATCAAAAGTCGTTTAAAAAGAAATGGTTTAAAATTATTCATACAGTCGATTCCAACAATCATTTGAAGATATTAGCAGCTCCCATAGTTTATTTATTTCTTTGTTGGCCTACTAAGAGGGTCCCAATAATTTATCAAATGCGCTGATTATATCAGACATTTAACACTACAGTGTTCTTGCTTTTCAGTACCTTCCTTCATTCAACACAGGTTGAAAATTTCCAATATTACGCAATATAAATTATGTAAATAATGATAACTCCTCATCGCAGAAATTTAGTAATTACATTTAATTAATTATTCTTGTTCTTCAAAAATTTCTCTTAATTTTGATTTTTTTCTCTGAAATTGCTTTCCATATTTCTTTATAATTTTTCTTATTCTTTCTTTGTTGTCACTTTCTTTGTATTCACATACTTTCTTTTAGAATTTCATCATTGTATTAGTTTCCTTATTGTATAAGTCATGTTTCTTTTCTAATGTCCTTAATCACATTACCATAGCGAAATACGACTTCTAAATGATAAACACATTGTTTAGAAATAGGAAAATTTTGATGAAACAAAGACTACTGAAAATTTGCATATTGAATGTCGGAATCTGTCGTCATAGTTGCAGAGAAGTCTGGAGGCAACAGAGCTGTGGTTCAACAGAATTGTGGAACATCGAAAATGTTTTATGGAAAATTTGAGCAGAAAGGTGGCTTGTACTTAGAATTATAGCTAACTGAAATTTCTG